AATAAGTAAACATTAAAAAAAAAAGGACTGGGAAACATCAAAATGATAATATTGGTTACATCTAGTGGTTAGGTTATAGGTGATTTTTGTTTTCTTTGTAGATTTCTAATTTCCTACAGTGAATTTTTGAAATCCGGAAACTAAATTATTTATAGAAATAAAGCAATTCATTCAGCACCTAAATCTTGGTTTCTAATACTAATAAAAGTAACAAGAGAAATGGCTTAGAGAAATGATTGATCTCTAGGTAAATAAGTGAACCTGGAACATCTTACGGTGCCAGAAAGTAAGGAAAGTGCTCGACAAACAAAAGATGGGAGTATGTCAGCAGGACATGGGACCTGGAGGAGCCCTCAGTAACCTCCGCAATAAGATAAATAATGTAGTATTAAATTATATCCAAAAGTGTAAAATACATATCCAGGAGTCCATACTGACATTAATGATTGAATAATAAATGGGTGAGAATAGAGGAAATCCCTGTGCAGAATTCCCAGTGATTTTTGTAAATAACTCTACTGTCAGTAGGTGGTAACTTTCTTCCAAAGTATATACAGTGTGGAAAGAGGGGATAAGAAAGTGTAACTTCCCTGTGGAGAAACTCGATCTCAAGATCAGCATCAATGGCGCTAAGTCATGTTGCGACGGTATTCTGTGCCGAGGCTCTAGGATGGCACTGTACCTCTGGGGTCTTCCTCCCAGGAGCCCATTACCCTAGTCTAAACTGAGAAAAACCTCAGACATACCCAAATTGAGGGACATTCTACAAAATACCTGGCCAGTGTTCTTCAAATCTGTCAAGTCATTAAAAACAAAGAAAGTCAGAGAAACGTTAAAGTCTAGAAGATCCTAAGGATATGTGATGACTAGAATTGAAGGACAAAACGAAGGAAACCTGAATAAAGTATGGACTTTAGTTAATAATAACGTATCAACTTTGGCTCCTTGTTTATGATAGATATACCTTAGCAATAAAAGATTTTAATAATAGGAGAAGCCCAACTTTTTTTATAAAACTCTAAAACTATTCTGAAGTTAGTTTGCTTTAAAAAAAAAAAAGATAATTATTTAATTGAACAATTTACTCTTACTTTGAAAAGTTTTGAGTAATAATGGAGATGTTCCGTGGGATAAATTTGCAATTTCTGACATTTGTTTTTTGACCCATTTTTCTCAGAAGTATGAAATTCTCATTGCATAAGCCTGACTTTCCATTCAGAGGACGCTTTGATGTGCAGCATTGTGTGGTTCATTCCGGGCACAGAGTTTTCCAGTGAGGTTTCAGGGCAGATCCTGAATCCAAAGTAATCTGAAGAGTCAAGAGTTTATATTTCTCCTTTCTTTAATATAAACATAAAGGTGTTTGTATTATCAGTTACCACGTAGGTGTTTGACATGTATGAAGGCATTGTACTTGGTGAAAGTCCTGAGGGTGAAGGAACGAATGGGCATCTGTTGGCCTTGACTATTCACTCCTACTTGCTCAGTGTAGACCTGAGTGCCAGGCCACTGTGGTGCAGGGCAGTCTCTACTTTCTTTAAAAAAAAAAAAAAATTTTTTTTTTTAACGTTTATTTATTTTTGACAGAGAGAGACAGAGCATGAGTGGGGGAGGGGCAAGAGAGAGAGAGGGAGACAAGGAATCTGAAGCAGGCTCCAGGCTCTGAGCTGTCAGCACAGAGCCCGACGTGGGGCTCGAACTCACCGTGAGATCGTGACCTGAGCCAAAGTCGGACACTCAACCGACTGAGCCACCCAGGTGCCCCGAAGGGCAGTCTCTGCTCTCAAGGGACCAGTGCAGAAACGCTTGAGCCAGGGACTCAGCACATTCATCACATGGTGTAACTAGTGCAGTCGCATAAGGACACTGAGCTGAATGGCATGGAGGGGGGTGTGATCACCAACTGCTGGCCCTTTTCTAGATGTTAGTGAAACAGATTTATTGAGATGGATGGGTCCAAAGATATATATAAATGGGCAAAATAAAATGAATTAAAATTAGTTTTCTGTGTGTGGCCAGTAATAAAATTATTATGCAAGCTATAAAGTCTTTCTTTTTAATGATTTTTTCATGTTTATTTATTTGTTATTTCTGGGAGCGAGAGAGAGAGAGAGTATGTGCACGAATGGGGGAGGGGCAGAGAGAGAGAGAGGGAGACAACAGAATCCGAAGCAGGCTCCAGGCTCTGAGCTGTCAGCGCAGAGCCCGACGCGGGGCTCGGACTCAAAAACCACGAGATCGTGACCTGAGCCGAATTCAGACACTCAACCGACTGAGCCACCCAGGCGCCCTCAGGCTACAAAGCCTTGAAGAGAATGGGATAACGGTCTTAAAAATATTTCCAATAATAAAACATTTCAAACATTTTACCACATTTTGAAGAAATAAAACAGGGACAGCTAAAACTTGTTCTGCCCTTCCTTCCTGTTGTGCTGATGCTAATATATATCATTTCCTACCGTTTTTTAAAACTTTATTATGTGTGTGTGTGTTTACACATGTATGTATGTATTAATAATATATACTGGTTTGATGTTTTAACAGTTTATTTAAATGATACACCAAAGAAATCTTTTTTTTAACTTTTTCTTCTCACTGACCATTATTAAAACTTTTTTTTTTTCAACGTTTATTTATTTTTGGGACAGAGAGAGACAGAGCATGAACGGGGGAGGGGCAGAGAGAGAGGGAGACACAGAATCGGAAACAGGCTCCAGGCTCTGAGCCATCAGCCCAGAGCCTGACGCAGGGCTCGAACTCGCGGACCGCGAGATCGTGACCTGGCTGAAGTCGGACGCTTAACCGACTGCGCCAGCCAGGCGCCCGTCACTGACCATTATTGACATCAGTTCATGGTAATAAGTGTACATCCAGTTCTTTTATTTTAAGCAGAGCATAATGTTCCATTATATGAAAATAAACCATTTTATTTCCACTGTGCTGTGGCAAAACAGTGGTTGTGAGTTGCATCCTTTTTTGTCTTTTTTTTTTTTTTTTAATGTTCATGGCTACAGTGAGGCTTCTTGTACATGTGTCCTTGTGAACACGTAGCCGCCTAGAACTAAAACCCAGGGTCACAGGTGTGTGCCTCTTCAGCTTTAACAGATGCTACCAGGTTGCTCTCCAGAGTTTGTACTCTGCACGCCGTCTGTGCGTTTCCGCTTCTTCACACCTGTACAGAAATGGCATTATCAGACTTACTCATCTTTCAGGCTTATGGGTGTGATGCATTTGTCTGCGTATTAATGAAAATCGTATATCTTCTTTATGTTTGAATTTATGGAAATTCTTCTAAGAAATGCACATTTATTGCCCTTAAGTAGCTTGGTGTTTGCTGAGGTAAAAGGCCCTTCCCTGGCCTTGGATCTGATGTCTCAGGACCTGTATTAAAAGATAACACTGCTGAACCCACCGTAAAGCGGAAGGTGGGTTAGAGGAAGAATTTAGTCCTTGCCGTATTTAGTTGTCTTATTTATTCCCTATTGTGCTTTTTATTTTCTTTGTGCTTCATTATCAGTCACCGTGTCTCTTACTGTGAAGGGTTCAAGTAAGCTACCTGATTTGTTAGGCTTCTACTTAAGTATTTACAGGGCACCCGGCTCGGTCATTCATTAGAGCTTGAGACTCTTGATCTCAGAGTCGTGAGTTCGAGCCCTGAGTTGGGTGTAGAGATTACTTAAAAATAAAATCTTTAAAAACATTTGCAGTTGTCCAAAAAGATAAATATAATTTTATCATACAATTCAGCAGTTCTGCTCCTAGGTATTTACCCAAAAGATGAAAACTCCTATCCATACAAAAACCTGCATGTATATATTTATAGCAACTTTATTCGTAATTGCCAAAATGGGGAAGCAGCCAAGATATCCTTCAGTAGGTGAATGGATAAACAAATTGTGGTACATTTGGACAGTGGGGTATTATTTGGCGATAAGAAAAGAGCTATTGGGCCATGAAAAGAGATGAGGAACTTTAAATGTGTATGGTTAAATGAGAGAAACCGGTCTAGAAAAACTACATACTGTATGATTCCATCTATGGGACATTCTGGAAGAGGCAAAGGATCAGTGGTTGCCAGGGATTCAGGGATTGGGAGGGGTGAACACGCAGAGTGCCGAGAATATTTCAAGCAGAGAAATTACTCTTCATGATTTATCATGGTGGATACGTGACATTATGCACTTGTCAGAACACAGAGAACCGTGTAACACAAACAGTGAACCCTAGTGTAAACTGTAGACTTGTTAATGATGGATGATGTTCCCATATTGGTTCACCATTTGTATCAAATACTCCACGCTGATGCAAGACGTTACTAAGATGGGGAACTGGGTGCTGGAGAAAGGGGGCATAAACCTACAAGCGTTCTGGAAGAGTCTATTCAAAAAGAGAGTCTGTTCCTTTTTTTACTTGTTTTTAAATGTTTCATTCAGTTCAGATTTTACCAAGTGTAGCCAATTATGTGGGAACAAAATGTTATTTTGAATAGAAAACATTTTTAAGATGATTAATTATCCATTTTATTTATGAAACTTAAATTGTTGATGCTTTTCAGGACTACGACTTCCATTTTGTGTGGATCTGTAAACAAGCAGAGTTCTTGTTAAAATTACCTAATTCCTTTTTGCTTTCTTGAGAAATAGAGTGGTATAGAGAGTATCGATTTTGTGTATTTTTCTTTCTGTGTGTGGTTAAATAATTTAGAGCAAAGATTTTGTATGTTAGTATGTTAGAAATCTTTCCAAATACTGTAATAGCCAAAGTAATCTGGGATGTTTGTCATGATTCTAATAATTTTTTTACAATATAAAATCCCTAATTTTATCGATTGTAGGATATCTGTTCTAGGACACATTAGCCTCTGAAATCAATATGTCACTTACCATCAGTAACATCTTAGGTTTAGTGAAATACCGTGTCTCATAAGGCTTCAGGGAAGGAATTCCTTAATTGTCTTTAACTGATGCTGGGGATGGTTCTGACTCACTCGTGTCTTTCAGATGTTCTCTGTGTGGGTACGTGTGCAGCCATCCTCCTTCTTTGAAGTCTCACATGTGGAAGCATGCAAGTGACCAGAATTACAACTACGAACAAGTAAACAAGGCTATCAATGATGCCATTTCACAGAGTGGCAGGTATTTATCCTGTCCCTTTCCTTGTTGCTGTATGTAAACCAAAGTGAGGGTTGAATCTGCCAGGCTTACATGATAACCAACTCAAGGTGTGGTGTGTTCTGTTTTTGTTTTTAAGAGTTCTGGGGAGATCCCCTGGAAAGATGCTCTTAAACAGCAGTGAGGACAGAGCCGATCGAGCCGATCCTGTCACTGGAAGTTCTGAAAACTTGGTGTCAGCCTCAGAGCTGATTTCCCAGGCCCCCGGCGAAGTTGTAGGTTCCAACGACAACGAGAAACTGAGCCCTACGAGTAATACCTCATACAGTTTAGAAAAAAACTCCAGTTTGGCCCCTCCTGGCATGGAGTATTGTGTTTTACTCTTCTGTTGTTGTATTTGCGGTTTTGAATCTACCAGCAAAGAAAATCTCTTGGATCATATGAAAGAGCATGAGGGTGAGATCGTAAACATCATCCTAAGTAAGGACCACAACACAACTCTAAACACAAATTAGATTGAATAACTCCTTGAAGAGGGACACGGTAGAAGAGAAACCCTTTAAACCACAGGTTCACCTTTGCGCTATCAAATAACTTACTAGACACAGAAGAAATAGTTGGTGTGGGGTTTTTGTTTGCTTGTTTGTTTGTTTTGAGGAAAAGACAGATGTGACTTTGGAATCAAATTTGCAGTGTAATAAAAAGAATTCCAAATGGATAAGTGGGAATGCTATTCAAGTATCGTGAGTGAGGGGAGGTAGGTTGAGGAGGAAGCAAAAATGTAACCCTGTGTTTGCCCTGTCACCTCTGCTTAGTGGTGGGTGTATTTATTATTCAAAGCTTAATGTAGTGTAGAAATGCAAACAAAAGAGTTAAACAGCTTTTCCGGAACTTCTAAAACTTCTTGTTCCAAAGGTGTCACATCTTAAGCAGAGCTTAGTTCTCTTTGTTGTGAACTCGGACACGCCAGCTGTGGAGGGCCGGGCCTCTCATGAGGGGTGGGAGGCAGCTCTCTGAGGGCTTTTCACTGTGACCAGCAGAGTCAACAAGGAAAAGATCACCAGAGGGCTGTGAAATGATCTACCCAAATCTTTTCCCAAATCGATAGGAATGAATCATATACTCAATCTAGGATATATTTCTCCCTAAAACAGAAAGAGACCTCTGAATGCAAATCTAGATTGTAAATAGGCATTTAAGAAGTAAATTGTTGTCTTAAATTTACAGTGAATGTCTTGTGGGCAAAGGAGAAAATAGGTGAATTCCCACCAGCCTCAAACCAAGTTGCAAGGTGTGTGAAAACGGGGACTCATTTAGCACAGCGCCCTTCCCAGAGGCCCTTTCCAGGTTTGACGGAACACCGCACTTTTCTCCGTAGTTACACAGGCTGACCCTCTCTTCTGAACTAGACCAAGTGTCTCATCTCAAAGGTCTGTTCAAGCAGCCAAGTGTGAAGATTGGCATTTGATCATCAGACCTCGGAAATCTTTGGAACTCTTAAATAAAAATCATTTGAGGGACAAGAGGTGAAATTCAGAGGCCCCTTAAAATGAGTACTGCTATTGAAGATTTTACTGCCTGGAGTTTATTAATCTAGTTATACTTAGCATAAGAGGTATAATCAAATGTGGCTAAACTATAGTAAAAATTCAGGTTGTTTATAAAACTTTTAATAACAGGCGATTTGGCGCAAGTCTACAGGGTTTCTCCTATCTAGGATGTTCCATTTTGTTAGTGTGCAATAGGACATATGGACAACCAACTACAAGTGCTTTTGCATTAAAACTCGCCATCAAATACATGTAATCTTCTCATTAATTATACATTTTGTATTATAATGTATTTCAAAGTGAAGAGAACAGGGGTGGTTTTGGTTTTGCTTCTGTAGTACTGATCATTTATTTTTGTGTTGTTTTGTTGAAGTAAGGCTGGTGCACCGAGCAGTGCACTATCTTCATGGTGCTCTTTCTGAACTTGATCTCTAACATGTTCTAGAGCTGAGGCTGTGAGTCTGATAAGTTTAGAAGACATTGATTACTCTGTAGACACATTTTAGGAAAGAATTCCCTTCCCCAAGTCCAGGTATGGACTGAATGAATTAATATTTTTAAGATAGCATCAGGAACTATTACTTGGGGCCAGGCCATCTTGAAACATTGTTCAGTTTTTTTCTACATCTTATTTTGATGATGATATTTAAACAAACAGAATCGATTGTAATTGCCAGCTGTTTGATTTAGGTAGCTTTATTTATGAGAGTTAATCCGTTTCTGATAGGTGGTTTTTAAAAACATAAAATGAATTTATAGATACCAATTATATATATTATCCAAATTCACTGCATGTGGATTTATGTTCATTTTCTCCTGTTTTCAGAATTAAAAGACAATTCTATTTCATTTCATGTTTAAGTAAATATTTTAAATGGTTCCATTCTTACCGCTCATTCTGAAAATTAACAACCCTTATTAGCAGAATTTTGTTTTATAAAGGTTCCTTGGTTTTAATTTCATGTAATCGTTTGGAAAATACTAATAACCAAAAAAAAAAAAAAAAAAAAAAAAAAAAAAAAAAAATCCCAAAAGCATTCATAGTGAGTTTTTAAATAACCTTCAGTTCCCTAACCCATTTCTGTTGATTGTTACTTAAATTTTCCATTTGGAATCATGAATTTAAAATTTCCCTAGCTCGTGGGAAAAAATTCACCCAGAAGTTCCAAACCTTTCAACGCTCATCTGACTCTGGCCTAAAATGCCCTCAAAAGCTTTCTGTGGGGCTTTGGGAAGAACCATATGCCATGGGTGTTCTGTACCTTCCTGTGACCATTTTGTGGCGAGCTTGAAGTTAACTGCGTCTCCACCAAGAACAATTGTTTCTAAAAGTAATAATGAAGGCTGAGTATGCAATGTTAATTGTAAAAGAGATAGGTATTGGAATAATCATCAGGAACTCCCTTCATAGGAATAACTATTTAGTGGTACTAGGTCTTTTGCCATATAAAGATCATAGTATTTGTTTCCCACTCTGAACACCTACCAGTTGTAAGATTTGATAGTAAAACTAGTTTTTAAAAGAAACTGACTGGATAAGGCAAAGGCAGGGAGGGCGGAAGACGGTGCATTGCATTCTGATCATCACAAGTAATACTTTCCAAGGGTCAACATTTTCTCTCACTCACTACTAGTCCAGAATGTGGTTGGTGTCCCCAGCGTTCTAACAGTCCCATGCCTGTACTCCAGTGGATCCCTAGACATTAGTTCTGTGTGCAGCCAGTGCGTTGCAACGACACTGGCAGAAGCTTTTGTTCTAGATCCTCTCATCCTATTCGAGGTAGCTGTTGGTGGCTTCATTATTATTTTCTCTGTCTTTTCTCACAAAGCAGATGGTGGGCACCCATGTTTACATTGTATCTTCCCACAATGTACTTGGCTTGACAAAGACAAGCAGGCTTCTCTATTGAGACTTATTATATTTTTAGTTTTCATAGACACTTATTTAATCTTTTTTTATTGTACAGCAAGGTGCTCTAAGTAATATTCTATAAAATATATTTAATAGAAATTTGAGTTTGATATTCATGGACATGAATACATGTATTTTTTTAAGAAATAAGTATTGTGTAACACTATGGCATTGCTTCTATAGCCAAAGTCTAAAAATTTCTGGAACACTGACATGTAAAGACTACAGTTAATTCTGACACTGTATCTTATTAAAATAGGATGATTTGCATTTTGTAAAATTATCCTGCACATCGAGCTGCATGCCTTAAAGCCTAAAACTCTAGGATCGTGTTCATGGTAGAACAGTTCATCTGTTCAACAAACAGTGAAGCAAGGTCTATAGTGCTTCTTTAACTACCTTTGGAAATACTGTACAATGTTAGAATAATTTATTTTGCTTTACAGGAGTTTGTCATGTATTGACTTTAATATTGTATTTTGGTAATAAATTTTTTGTTAAAAACACTCGCCTCTGAAGTTTTATCACCAAAGGTTTTTATCATTTTTATCTTGGAAATGTTGATTTGGTCACTTGGAAAGTGGGGTTTAAATACTGAAGAGCTTCCCAAGGGTTGAACTTACGATTATGGCTTCTGATTACCCTTTGGTGACTTCTTCAGCTATTGCTGGCTAGCATGCAACTCTGTTACACAGAGATGACTGAAAAAGTATTTAGATTGTTTTAATCACTGTAAACATTCACTCTGGTTTTGAAGCTTTTTGCCCTTACTACTCGGTTCTTCATTTTCTCTCCCGAATCGCATTTTTCTGTGCTCTCAGTTCTACAGTGACAGTGCTGGAGACTAGCTGTATTCATGACAATTAGCATTCTTTATGGAAGGCCCGAAACGACAATCATGTGTTCACACCTGATCATTTTGTGGTCTACATCAGATACGTTCTCCAGTTAGCTTTGTTGGCTGCATTGAGAGGTAAAGCTGACATCGTCTCACTGTGTCATTGGTCTGGTTATCCTGGGCCACCTCAGCTTAGAGTTGAGAGGCCAAGTGTTTCTTCCCAACAGCTATAATCCGCTGTCCTGTCTCCCTAGAGGCAACGTAATTATACCCCCTATCTTTTAAGACCCAAATGCCAACACTTTGTCACTAAACTCCAGGTTAGTTGTAGAAATCCCATCATGGAACTTCTAGAACATCGGCTGCAGTTGGTTAGCCGCTGTTTCCAGTGAGCACTTGAAATACGACTGGCATGCGGTGAGTATACAATGCACGACCGTTTTGAAGGCTTAAACAAAAAGTGAAGTATCTTATTAATAGTTTTATATTAATTACATGTTGAAATGATATTTGGGGTTAAATAAAACGTACTATTAAAATTAACTTTTTTCCCAATGTAGCTACTAGAAGAATTTTAATTACGCAGGTGGCTAATGTAATGTTTCTGCTGGACGGTGCTAGTCTAGAAGAGGGATTAGTAAACTACATCCCTTGCTTCAGTTCAAGCCTGCCACTGGTAAAAACCAGTAAATAAAGTTTTATTGGGGGGCACCTGGGTGGCTCGGTCGGTTAAGTGTCTGACTTCGGCTCAGGTCATGATCTCACGGTCCGTGAGTTCGAGCCCCGCGTCAGGCTCTGTGCTGACAGCTCAGAGCCTGGAGCCTGCTTTGGATTCTGTCTCCCTGTCTCTCCGCCCCTCCCCTGCTCACACACTCTCGCTCTCTTGCTCTCAAAAATAAACATTAATGATAATAATAAAGTTTTCTTGGAATATAGCTGTATTTATTGGTTTACATGTTGCATGTGGTTATCTTCAAGGTACAACAGCAGCATTGAGCAGTGGTGACAGAGACCGGATGGCCCACAAAGCCCAGATTACTTACTGTTTGTTTGATAGTAAATAGTTCCATAGAAAATTTCTGTCTGCTGACCTCTGACCTGGAGGAATAATGGTGTGATCCGTGCTTTAAAGCTACCAGAAAGAAAAAAGCTTTTTATAAAGAAAGCTTTTTATAGCACTGTTTTCTAGCTAAGTTGTATTATTTCTCCCCCCGT